AGCTTTACTGCAATGCAATGACTAATGTCAGTCCAGACTGAATGAAAATCATGATAACCTATTTATGTCACGTTGACGTAGAACAGCTGAAAAGTTACCGGGTTTACCAGGCGATATAGTATAGACTTCATAATCTGCACAATTTTGGCTGAACGCATTATTTATTTCCACTTTGGCTTTATATTGTTGATTTTTTATCCAAGTACATTTTTTGTTGAAAGAGACTGAGAATCCATTTTATTTTTGGTTGTTTTATCATTCCCAGTGTAAAGTGTTCTTGTGAAAATAAAGTGTATCTACTGTATATTTGGCATGCATTATTACATCATTTACGTTATATCAGTGTAAAAACGTCTTCAAAAAATATTGTCGTTTATCGTAATAATTTCTGAGACAATCGCTCTGCAAAATTTGGTATCGTGACAGGAGGTTTTCAATGGGGTTCAGTGCAGTGGCCTCTTCCCTTTACTTCCAGACCTGTATGTAGTTAACAGTTTTAGTTGGACAAACCTATTTAATTTCTTATGTAAATAAGCAGTGATGTTTAGAAAAATGCACCAACAAATAACTTCTCTTAGTCTTTAGTCTTGCTGGGGGCTAAGCACCCCTAAAGGTCAGATCCTAGAATCGCCCCTGATTTCATTTATTCTTCAATCTTGTGTTTGTTGTTTGATTCTGTATGTGTGTTTAATGGCTTCTTCAGAACATGACAGGCATTTTAAGCTTTTAAAATTCACATATCACTTTAAACATTCCCTGTACCTTTATCCTTTTTTTTTCAATCTGACTTTCGTATTTATACCTTTTTTTTTTTTTTTTTTTTTTTCATTTTACCAACAGTTGGTGATATAAGAAAATATGGAAAACGTTTTGCACTTAAATTATAAAAACTCCTGAAAATAATTCCACAGTCCGATGCTTTACAGCACGATTTCTGCTGAGGGTTTGAGAAAAAGTGCACCTCTTACTGAATGCTGCAGTCCAGCCTGGCAAGACTTTAGCTTACTGTAGAATTCTTGTGTGAATCAGATTGCATTCAGAGCTAACAGCCAAAAGCAGAGCTGGTGTTTTCTAGATCGGTTGTAGGCGGAGCTTGGTAAGGTCCAATCAGCCAGCGGATCCAGCTGGTCTTGGGTTGAAACCTGGAGTTCAGCACATCCAGTCCAGGTTTGCAGTGCTGTGCAGCTGGACAATGTTCCAAGTCCGATTTGATTCTAAAAAAAAAAAAAATCAACCTGCACAACTATTAACTATTAAAGTCCATAAATATGCAGGAGCAATAAATTCCATTTATCACAAAAACTAATATTTAACTAATGTCAAGCTTGCAAAGACGCAATCCAGTAAAAATCAAATACATCACAACACTCACAGGAGAAAACCACAGAAATGGATTTAACTGCAAGGATGAGGTCACTTACCTTCTCTGTATACTGTTACAGAAATTCATCAGAATTAATCATGTAAAATGCTTTCTTTCACCTCACCTTTTTCACGCTTCCGGATTCTAAAGCGGATGTGGGGTTGGACAACTTACGGTGGCTGTTGCATTAGTATTAAAAGACTAGAAAAATGGCTCAGTCTCGGCGCAGTTGTTTTTGTTCATTTCCTGGTTGTTCATGTGGAGCAAGAAAACAGCCATACCTGTCCTATCATGTGTTCCCAGTGGATCTGGAGCAACGGAGGCAGTGGATCCAGGCAATCCGAAGAGATGAAGGTCCGGATTTTTGCATAAAGACTGGGAGCACTTTTGTATGTAGCCGCCACTTTACACCGGAGGATTTTGTTAGCGGATCCACCACCAGCCGCCTTTTTTTGCCTGGAATAACTTCACTGCACCAGCAAGGAGAGAGTCTGCTTTCGAGAGGGCTAAGAAACGGCAGTTTGTCCTCTCAGAAAGCTAGCCAGGCTGAAGATGCCACTGCAGACCATGATTATATGGCACATCCACCCGCAGGTAAACGTCAAATTAAGATAGTACATTGTATACATTTGCCATGTAAGAAAATTTCAGTCAAATATAACTATGACTATAATAATTTATTATTATTATGATCACATAATAATGAAATTATGAGATGATGTGGTAGTTATATATTTTGTGGCAAGATTAAGTCAATGGCTGTATACATACATGCTTCGACTCACATGAATTGATCTTCACAGATCATAACTAAGTTCTAGCATGCTGTTTTTCACAAACTGCACTGGGAAATACATTTCAGAATGTCAAAATATAACTGAAAAGTTTAAGCTATGTCTGTCTCCAATATTACACGTAATTTAGCAAACTAAGTTAAGCTTCATTACAATGTTTGTGTAGTACATATATTGTAGCTAGCGGTTAGCTCGCTCAGCTTCATCTTACCTTGATAGCTGTGGATATATTCTTCGTGGAAGAACTTGTATCCCTTCACACTTTTGTTGGTGGGCGAATTCGCCGCTGCGATTTCCTCCGTATCAGCGAAAGAAAAGGCTGGCAAATGAACTAAAGACGGTGAAAAGGACCGGAGGAGGAGAGCCATTTTTCAGACTACTTGAATTACAGTCACCAAAACAGGAAGTGCCACAGCCCTGTCAGATACAGCTTCCGGTTGCCGTGAAAAAGGTAGCTCGCTCCGGTTTCTTCTTCTAGTCCTATTTTCTTTGATGTCTGAACCAGATTATAACTCACTGGCCGCCTACTGGCGGTTTCTGGTAGCAAAACAAAAGCCAAAATTAAAATAGAAACTGATTTCCTGGTGCATTAAATCACAAGACAAAATCTAATAGAAACTAAATATTAAATAATACCAACAATAATATTACACACATATATGGGGGTTGCACAAAAATCTGAAATTGTATTAAATTTAATAATAAAGAGGGAGGCTCACAAATACGCTTTTAAGAAAAAATGTCTATATACTTTCAACATGCACTTTCAATTTCAGTGCATGTTGAAATATTATCATGAATGTTTTGAGTAGGCCTCAATTTAGGTTAGATTTAGACTCATAGTTTAATCAATATATAATTTAATCAGTAGAACATTTTTCATAGATGTAATAATCACAGTTTGATTAAAATTAGTCTATGTGGTAGAGCTTTTTATACTAGATCACATTCTTAAGAGTGTATAAGTCATATTCCTCTGAAAAATATCTTAGTTCATTATAACCAAAGTAGAAAACTCATCAGAAAATGTGAAGTGTAACAGATATTTTACTGCTGAAATTGCTCATGTTTGTATACGAAGATATTATATGAAATGTGCGAAGGGTAATTACATGTTTGTCCGAAAAGAGTTAAGGAAGCTTATTGTTCCCCCAAAAATGACAAAAACCCAGACATTATGAGTCAATAAAATCCTCCCTGGAGGTTGTGATGCCAACACTCAGCTTTCCTCAACAACTCAACCCCCAGCCCCCACCCTTCTGGGTGGGGGCTGGGGGATTGGATTTATTTCATTCTTTTTTTTTTTTTTTTTGCTATTTTGTATTTATATTATTTAAATACAAAAGTTTCCTTTAATAATATGTTAGGGGGGAATAAATGTAAACTTTTCCAAGTTTGAGGGTGGGGGAGTCCTGGACTCTGGTGGATATGGGCAATTTAGCAATGTGAGTTTCTTTTATTCATTTTTTTTTTCTGTGTTGTTGCCATGTTTTGCCCTTCATCGTTAATTCCTTTTGGATTAGCACAGGTTCGTACTTTAAAGCAGTTCTTCATTTTGCTTCAGGCAATCGTCCCTTAAGACTCAAGTGTTTAATAATGAGGTCAGATGAATAAAGGCGAAGAGAAAAGAGATCTTCTTAACTGAGTGATAAAACACTTCAGCGGGGAAAAGTTGGCTGATCTTCCTTCCCATCAAAGGATTACTTAAAAAAATAGAACAAATTTTATCACTGAGAACTAAAGTTAGCCTTATTTACATGATTCCAGAGCACATTATAAAGTCATTTTTGTACCTCCACCTGACAAGCGGTTGAAGTGAAATTGTTTTCTATGTTTCCATCAAAGTACCATCAGCCTAAATTAGACAACAACATAGTGATAAATGACAAAGAAAATATGATGTGGCTGCAAATATCTGTTATTCTTTCTGTGAGGAACAGAACATATTCAGCTGGATAAAATATAGAATTTGATTCAATTACGCACAAAATGTAATTTCTTCAAATTCTTGAAAAAATTCCCAACCTGGGCTATGTCAACACAACCGCGTATGCTTTCATGTTTTATAAAAAATTTTTTATTTTGAATTATGTATGTGGGCGGTGTTTGTAAAAACCCTTGTTTGAGAGCACAACTTTATGCATTACAATAGTCTAAGATAATCAAATATAATATAATTTCAAATAACCAGAAAAACCAAGTTTATATCATCCAGTCAAATTTATCAAAGCTATATCAGTGGTAACGTTGTTTTGGACCAACAGAGAAATAGTTTACTGTTCCAGTGCTGGTCCATCACCATGCTTCCTTGGAAAATGATTTTGGACAACAGGACAACCTTTTCTAGGCTTCTTCCGTTGCCCTATTAAGTTATTTCCTTAACCTAATGTGTGTATATGCTGGTGTGTGTGCATGCGTGTGTGGGTGTACATGCGTAAATGCAAGCAGCTAAAAGAGACAAAGGAAAACATAGAATAATAATAATGCATAACACCTTCTTACTCTCAGATGTTACTGAAAAACTTCACCTATTAGTAAAAGTCCTTGAATAGCTACTTTAATCTTTTACCTGTTTTGAGCTGCGTCTTCCGAAGAGCCACATAAAGTCCACAATCTGGACTTTATGGGCTTAAGTTCTCTAATGTCTTCCTAATTATGCCATTATGTCATTCAGGTGATTTGGACCAAGGACATGTCTAACAGTTGCAGGACACTGACCCCGGATGTCAAGACCCCTGCTGCGTCATATTGGCAATTGCAGATGCATGAAAATATGAAACCTTTAATTAAAACTTAAATTTGATTTTTTTTTTTTCAATATTGTAGGAATTGACTACATCAGACAACACATGGAAGAACTTACCCTCCAGCCAGAGCCCAACTGATTCAGTTTGTCCAATGATGATGAAGTCACTTCAACTCTGCTCAAGAGTCAAGATGGCGCCAACCAACTGGGTGGATTCTTGGTCTGTTCAGTTTCAGGACTTACGGAAATTATTCCTAGTGGTAAACATGCTAGTTTTGAAGATGAACAGTCCTCTCCCAGCCTCAGCAGGTAGAATGCGAAAGGCTCTTCGGCATCGCAAGATTTGTGGAAAGATTTCCCTTGAAACAATTCAGGACACCAGATTCTGGCAGCTTAAACGGAACCAGGTATTGGGCAAGATTTCTATCCGTTAGTTGACAGGTTTTGGATGATGCTAGATGTATACATTTCATCAGATTTAATGTTATTAACAGTATATTTCCTTATGTACTACCCTTTTATTAGATGTTTGAATAAAGAAGTAATTTGTGTCCAGCGGCTAATAGGACGAGATTGCCATGGTTGGTTGTTCTTCCTTCACTAATTTCTCTTCATTAGCAGAGAGTGTCCTGAGTGACTTGTGTCCTTTGGCCCTCTAGTTTCTGGTTGCATCCTCTGAAGGCGAATAAACATCCCCATCGGCACTTGAGAAAAGAAGCGAGTGGAATTAGAGAGGTGAGTGAAAGTCAAACATGCACCAGCCGCCTCGTCTGCCGAAGAGAGACCAGCCTGAACAAATGAGTTGGAAAAAGATGGTGTGCTCTGGGATTGGCTAGAGCAACACCAGAAAGATGAAAGGAAAAGAGAAGAAGCGGAGAGGCAAAAGACAATATACATTTCTTTTTTTTTCTAGAACACTTTAAGTAGGACAACCAGCAGCGAAAGCACTATTAAATAAATGAACCCAATTCCCCTGCTCCCCTTAAAGGGGGCAAATTGCCAAGCCTGTTGTTGCTGCTTTAGGGGAACCTATTGATTAGGTACATCAAGGTGAACTCTCAGAGAAACTACAAGCTGGGCTTAAGTGGATTGTAGCTTGTGAGATGTGAAAATGTGGGAAGCAAAAGGAAGTCACTAACAAGCTTCATAACCTGGATGATCTCTTTGTCTTCATTGGCCAAAATCTCTGGCTGCTCACCAGGACGCTGAATTACCTTCCCTTTGCTGCAACAATAGCTAATTTGCCAGCGGTGTTTGACGGGAAATGGTCGGCTGTCTGGTTCCGGGACAAACTGATTGACATTCAGAGAAGTGCAGCGAGCTGCAGCCCCGTCTCTGCAGGTTTACCCCCTTTGATTCTCGGTTGAAGAGGCGTCACGCAGTGACTTTGCAGCAAAACTGGCCCGTCCAGCAGATCCGCTCGGGCCGCCCTCTAACAGAGCTCTCTCCGTAACATTGTCACATTGTGTACAAACGGCAGTCCTGCAGGTGATCCAGAGAATCTACTGACTTCAGAGGTTCAGCCGCAGTAATTACAGAGCGGAGAGCCCGGATGGTTGAGATGCAGCCGCAGGTCAAACCTCTCGGATGGTTTTCTGTGTCTGCTTCCACCAGATAGACTCATTTACATGCTGGGTTAGGAGAGCAATAAGCCTTAACTTCACATGTACAAATAAGTTGGCTTGTGTGTAAATACATGCCCACTGCAAACATACGGATGGTTTACAAAGTAGAGTTTTGCATGAAGACATTTTTTTAATTAAAGTGGTTTTGTGAGCGATGAAGTCCATTTTGTTCTGACTCGTCCTCCTTTTGGACTAACTTATCTAGATTTCATTAAAGATATTTAAAGCTGCAGTACATAACTTTCATGAATTATTTTTTTTACATATTTGTTAAAACTGTCACTATGTCGTAACAATATGAGACTGTATGAGACTAGCCAGTTGTGAGGAACCAGCTTTAGCATAGCAGAGAGCAAAAGAGAGGGTGTGAGTAGAATACATGAGCTTAATTGACAGCGTTAAGACCCTCCTCCTGACTCTGATTGGTTATTTCTGAGTGAATGGTGTATTTTTGGAGTTAATATTGGAAGAACTGTGAGATGGCTGAGAAGCTAATTTTTTAGTTTACTCTCACAGATAGTCCATCTCATATTAAACTGTCACAACATATTTGTAGTTTTTACAAATATGTGAAAAAGCATAAAAGTAAAAGTTACATGCTGTAGCTTTATCTCCTGCAGGTGATGGAATAACTGCAAATAACCTTTTAAAGAACGTCACGTTTAAGATCCTGAACGATAAAGATAAAGATCTTTCAACAGCCACTAATTATTTCTCATGAAATGACTATTTTTTAGCAGCTTCAAACCAGCTTCCTGTCATTCTCTTTACGAAGTGAAGAAAGAGCTAAAGTGAAAAATAAAAGCCTTTATGCGTTGTGAGGCTGCAGCTCCACACGTTCTCGCCTGCAGCAGATCGGCGAAGCGCCTGGCATCGGTTCCAATGCCGGGATCAAGAAAGATGAAGAAGTGCAGCTTTTAGACACCCGTGATTCATCTTGAAACATGCCAGAGTGCGGAATCCTGTGTGGGCTTTTCCACGGTATGTGCCAATAACAGAGCAGAGTTCACATCCACGGCTCTGCAGCCGCATCTGCAGAGCCGTGTCAGTCAGTCTGTCTACATCCTCCGTGCTGGACGGCAGAGCGCGGCTGAAAGACAGCAGCAGGAGCACCAAACGCTTTAAATCCATCGAGTACGAGAGGAAAGAAATTAAACACTGACCTCAAGTGGTGATGTTGGAAAATATCTCAGAGAAGTAAAAAATAATCTGACTCTGCAAGATATATAATTTGAATTTTAAAACCACATTTGGGTTAAATCCTCCTGAATTCCTTTTTTTGTTTGCATTCTTGCAAGAGAAACAAAACAGAAAACAAAAACCTTGAATGTCAGTGCAGGCTGAATACAGAGCAATAGAATGTATGGAAAAGCAGTGATCTCAGTAAAATGAGTGAGACGGGTTTGTGATCACAAGGCTATGCTAAGTTTACAGCTGCCATAAAATAATTGAGTTTTATTCCAGCTGTTCCTGAGGCTGAGTATCTCTTCTCCTAATGATGGAATTATGTCAGATTTTACACAGTGGAAATGAGGATAGTTGACTCAATGCATAACTAATTCAACTAATTAATTTGACCAAAACGTGAATTAAGTCTGAGTGGAAACCTGACTGGAGTCATACACACATGACACATACATGACAGTAACGGACACCTGCTGCTGAAAAGAGAATCATTCATTCAGTAATGAACTGATTCTTGTTCATTTGCAGAACAAGAATCAGCTACATGATGAGTGCAATGTGCTATTTGTTGTCTGTTTAGTTAAATAAAGTACTATATAAAATAACCTGATTCCCTGCATTATTTAGAAATTTCGTTGAATCCTGTTCGATGACAATAAATGCTATTCTATTTTATTCTATTCTAAAAAGATAAAAACACTCTTGTTTGACAACATAGCAGCATTGTATGATTTTTCACAAACTCTCATTAATTCTCTATATTACATCAAATATTAACATCCAGTAAGATGATACATAGAGTCTCCAGCAGCAGTTTTCTGGGGGTTTTTTTGCAGAATTTGTACTGATGGGCTGGAAGTGTGAAGACAGTAAGATGGTTGGATCAGAGCTTATCTACCACACCAGGCCCTGTGTGCTTTGATTGCCACCAAAGTCTCACATCCACTCTAATTATATGCAAATCTTCCAGGGGGTTTACAACCCTACGTGTGTGTGTGTGTGTGTGTGTGTGTGTGTGTGTGTGTGTGTGTGTGTGTGTGTGTGTGTGTGTGTGTGTGTTGTGTGTGTGTGTGTGTGTGTGTGTGTGTGTGTGTGCGTGTGTGCGTATGTGTGTGGACGCACCTTTGTGTGTTGCATTCATCTTGTGTCTCATTTTCCGCTGTTCAACACTGAAACCTGACTGTAGCTCCAAAGAGGCAACACTGGCACGACTTTCTTTAGTGGCTCTTTACTAAACGCATGAGAACTAGAAGTGAAAGGCAAAGCTTTAGATAAAGATACATTTACAGACAGACAGGTGACACGCTTTAACAAAAGTTACCTCGTGGTCACCCGCCACTTCAGAGGTCTTTAACAGATTCATTCTTCGTTGTCCACTCTAAATGAAAATATTATAACCAATAAATTTACAAAATATTAGAAACATAACTACAAAATACCTTGACATGAGGCTGCTGCACTCACGTCTCCTGGTTCCAGGCTTCAGCTGTTTCTTTGATTATTCAAGTCTCGCAGCCTTTCACATCTACGCAAATCTCGCGACAACTTTCAACAAAAAAATAGTTCGACATAAAATAAAATACTATCATTTCACACAAATCTCAACACGTGAACCAAACAACTTAAAAGGCATAACCCTAACTGTTAGAAATAAACATAAATGTTTTTAAGAAATAAATTATTTCACTGACAGTTAGAAACCTATTTTGGCTGCCTGCAAATGTCACATTCTTCATTTCCATTAAGAACAAGATGGGGAGAGACGCAAAGTGCCTGGTCAGGTTTTCAGCCTCCATTTGGGTAAATAACATCTTTGGCCTTTAGGTCTGTGTGAACGAGACGGCGGCGTCTCCTGTAAGAACAACACAGTCTCATTAGACGGCTGTGAGTCTGAGTGTGTTCCTCAAATACATGATTTCTGCCTGCAGGTGTGTGCCTTTCTCAGCCCAATTAAAATGTTGACATTTTCACACAAAAAACACACAAAGTTCTGACATTCATTAAGAGCTGCTGAGACACAAAGAGAGCAGGTTTTATTTGGTGTAACAGCTGGAGCCTCACTAGCGCAACAGAAAGCAAATGTCAATCAGAAGATTTTCATGAACCCTCTGTAAGAAGTTAAAAATATGTTGTAATTTTTCTATCTATTTTTCCTATGAGTGTGTGTCATATAATTCCAACCTCTCACTTACAGTATTGTAACTGCTGTGGTTGTTGATCTGCAGCATTGAAGAAAACAGAGCTGGAGAATGTTTTTCTTGTTGTTGTCAGTAACTGCATTTCCAGTATAAATGTGTGCAAATCTTTGTTTAAATTCTGCTAATGTCACACCCCACAAGCCCCCACAACTTTACAAATGCTATGTCTCCATTAAATAAGAAGTGAAATTAAAATCACATGTGAATAAACTTATTTACATGATCAATAATCAAAAATCATGGCAATGACACTGGCATCTTATTCAGGTATTGGAGCAACAAGCTCCTTATACTTGGGAGAACCTTCATATGTGGCGTTTTGGAGAAATTGTAGTCGGCCATTATACAGAAGAGCTGTGGATCAGGGTTAGAATAGTTTTGGGATTGTCATCGCCACGGCCGTGCAGAGCCCTTTGGAGGGGCAGGGGCTCAAAGTTAAAAAGTGCACATTGAACAAGATCTTAAAACACCAAACAACAACAGAGCAACAACCCATATTAATCCAGGATTTCATTGGATCAGACTATATCATGGCCATCATGCAGGGACATGCAAAACACATGTGGTATATTTTTCCCAACAGGTATAAAGTTTCTGATTTTGCTGCTGACAGTCCTGGAGGGATGTGTTGATCTGAGACTGTTGCTGTTAAACTGACCAGAGGAGAGAAGGTCAAAGGTTATGAAGTTATGAAATAAGCACATCTGCTGCCATTTTGCCATTTTAATAATATCTTAATAAATAGATATTATTAAGCTCTAATAATATCAGTTTAACCTCTAGAACAACTTGGCTGCAGACTGATTTCTAGATCAAAAAGCTCGTGAACTCCAGATCATAT